TTCTTCTCCCCCTCTTTTCCCCATATTTTTTCTCATTCCAGTTTATATCCCTCTCTTTCTTAATATCTTCCTTTCCCCTTTTCTGCTGGGTCTTTCTGCCTTTCCTGACTTCACAGGTATTCCCCCTTTTGATTGCCTTCTTAAATCTCAATTTTTTAACCTTCCTTCTTTCCCCACTTCTTTGTACTGTTCTTTTTGTTAATTGTCTATTTAAAATGTCTTCTCCTTGAATCGACTCCTCCTCCTCTGAAGCTCTTTCTTCTTGTTCTTCAATCACCATTTCCATTTTTTTCTAACACAAAGCAAAGTGATTCGCCTCTTCCCTGTAGTAATTCTCTCATATTTTTAAGTTCCATTTTTAATTCCCGAAGAGATATCATCATTACACACTCTTATATTTTATGATAGTTAAAGTCCACAAAAAAACCACTTTTACTTTCCTTCTTTCTTCTTTCAATTTTCTAAAGTTCTCAATTATTCCAGCCCAGGGTCTATACCAAAAACATCAATCAAACCCACAGTCAGTCTTTTCTTGCTTTTTTCTTTATTCTGGTTCTGCTTTCACTTTCTAAGATTCTTACTTTGTTTCAATATTTCTTTAATGTTATATCCACATAAGTTCATTCTGAAACAGGATGCTTTCCCTTTTGTTTGAGCTCAAGTTGTCAAAAGGTGGCAGTCCCCATTATACAAAGTCTTCACCTTTTCCCCCTATTTTTTTATTTAGGGTTTTTCGAACCTCCATTTTCCAGCACAGTCCTGTCTCCAATTTGTAAACTTTATTATTATTATTTTTTGACAATCTTAAGTCCAGCTTTATTTTATGCCTGTTTATTCCCAAAATATTTTAGTCCAATTTAGTTAAATGTTTAGTTCCAGCTTCTTCCTTTCCTGGTTCGAAGCCGCGCTTAGCTGTCAAAAATATTTTCTTTCTTTTTTTCCTGTCCCTTTGTAATTTCGCCGCTCACTTTTCTTTTCTTAAAAATTCCATGTTACCTTAATCCCGGGGTACTTTTGTTTAGTTTTATTGCCCAGTTGTCCCAGTTCAGATGTTATCCACCTCTTTCTTCCCTCCTGCACAAATCTTAATCCAGCTGAGTCCTCCTCTTTGGGGTGGCCATTTTAAACCACCGCTGCAGTCATCTTCGGGGGGAAAAAGACCAAGCCCAGGGGGGGGGGAAGATGCAGCTCCCCTCAACCTGGCTTGTGGCTTCCCCTTACTCCGCCACCCCTCCAAGACAGCTTCAGCCCCTAATCGTAATGATCGGGGCTCTCCAACATGGACCATAGCCGCAGAGAGTTGCGATCTACAGTCTGTCAGCGAGGAGGCTCTTTAAGGGAGGACTATTTGTACATCTATTTACGAATTAACTACAACCACAATCCCGACATACTAAGTTACAGTTACTGAAATACTAATCTTAGAAATAAATTTGGCCACTACATAGAAGAAGGGCCAGGGGCAATAAGAAAAGGAATTCTGTTTCAAGAACTGAATACAGTGTATTGTGCAAAAATACTTTGGATACCTTAAGAATTAGTTACTGCTTTCCTGTCTAAAATAATATTGATATTAATGTATTTATTTGTAAACTTCAGGCATCTAATAATTAAAACAAAATTGTAGTTTAAAAATAATTAATACTAATAATTTACAAAAAAGAGTGGCATGGTGATATACTGTTCTTTTAAGACAGAAATTGGGAGTGTTAGTTGGAAAAGAATTTAGGAGGAAGCTCAGTAGAAAGATCAAGTAGAAAAAATGGGTTTGGAAAGAAACTTGCAGCTAGCTCTGAATGCCTAGATCTATTTATATGAGGCATACTTAGATTCTAAATGGTTTAGTCCCTAAATAGTTGACACTATTTGTGCCTAGAAAACAGTTTACAACTAATGCATATATTTTTAAGCAAGGGGGTAACTTTTTTCCATGTATTATTTATTCTATAACATATAAACATTCCATTTCAATCAAACAGTGTGTTGTCTGGGTACAATTGTTTTAAGGCAATCGTAATCAAAATGTCTGTAATAGTATTCATCATAATAACATTCATACTATAATAACAATAATATTTAGCTTGTCTATTTTAACAAATCTCCATTTTAACATTTAACCTTTTTGTGTCCCCATATTTCTAACTTCTGTTTCTATTATCTAACCATTGATAAAATAGATCCCGTATCAAAAAATATTCAGTTTCTTCTTTGTTCTTAATAGTGTTAGTCTATCCATTTTGGCACATTCTAACATTTCTTAATTATACTCTCATCTGTTGGGATGTCATCATTCTTCCACTGTTGTGCAAATGCAATTCTGGCTGCAGTTAGTACATGTAGAATCAGATATATAGTCCTTTTATCATATTTTTCTGGCAGAATGCCTAATGGAAATATTTCTGGCTTCAAGTCTATATGCTGCTTTATCATTTTTTCCAGCCAAGTATATATTTTCGTCCAATATTTTTTAGCTTTTGGGCATGCCCACCACATATGGTAATATGAACCAGGTATCTGATTGCACTTCCAACATTTAGCAGATCTATCGTTAAACATTTTTGCCAGTGTTAGTGCAAAATGCCATCTATAGAACATTTTATACAAATGTTCTTTATATGCAGTTGACATAGTCAATTTAACATCTCTATCCCACAATTTCTGTCATTTGTCCAGTTCTATTGCATATCCAAAGTTTTTAGTCCAAACAATCATTGTCTCCTTTACCTGCTCACTTTCAAGTTTAATACTTGATAAGTAACAATATATTTTCTTTATCAGTTTTTCTTCAGTTCCAGTTAATAATAATTTATTAAAACCATACTTTTTAGCATCTTTATTATATTGAGATTGTATCTGCATTTGTGGCCACCATGCAATGTCCATCCCTTGATTATTAAGTTCCTACTTGGTTTTTAGTCCCCCTTTTTCATACATGGATACAGTTGTGTTCATAAGTTTACATACCCTGGCAGAATTTATGATTTCTCAGCCATTTTTCAGAGAATATGAATGATAACACAAAAACTTTTCTTTCACTCATGGTTACTGGTTGGCTGAAGCCATTTATTATCAATCAACTACGTTTACTCTTTTTTAAATCAAAATGACACTAGAAACTACCCAAATGACCCTGATCAAAAGTTTACATACCCTGGTGATTTTGGCCTGATAACATGCACACAGGTTGGCACAAAGGGGTTTGAATGGCTATTAAAGATAACTATCCTCACCTGTGATCTGTTTGCTTGTAATTAGTGTGTGTGTGTGTATAAAAGGTCAATGAGTTCCTGGACTCCTGACAGACCCTTGCATCTTTCATTCAGTGCTGCAGTGATGTTTCTGGCTTCTGAGTGATGGGGAAAGCAAAAGAACTGTCAAAGGATCTGGGAAAAGGTAGTTGAACTGTATAAAACAGGAAAGGGATATAAAAAGATATCCAAGGAATTGAGAATGCCAATCATCTGTGTTCAAACACTAACCAAGAAGTGGAAAATGAGGGGTTCTGTTGAAACCAAACCACGGAAGACCAACTAAAATTTCAGCCACAACTGCCAGGAAAATTGTTTGGGATGCAAAGAAAAACTCACAAATAACTTCAGGTGAAATACAGGACTCTCTGAAAACATGTGGTGTGGCTGTTTCAAGATGCACAATAAGAAGGCACTGGAAGAAAGATGGGTTGCATGGTCAAGTCGCCAGAAGAAAGCCATTACTACGCAAATGCCACAAAGTATTCCACTTACAATATGCCAAACAACACAGAGACAAGCCTCAAACATTTTGGCACAAAGTCATTTGGAGTGATGAGACCAAAACTGAGGTTTTTGGCCACAACCATAAACACTACATTTGGAGAAGAGTCAACAAGGCCTATGATGAAAAGTACTGTGAATCATGGAGGTGGATCGCTGATGTTTTGGGGATGTGTGATCTACAAAGGTACAGGGAATTTGGTCAGAATTGATGGCAAGATGAATGCAGTATGTTATCAAAAGATACTGGAGGAAAATTTGCATTCATCAGCCTGGAAGCTGCGCATGGGACGTACTTGGACATTCCAACATGACAATGATCCTAAACACGGCCAAGTCAACTATCATTGGCTATAGCAAAATAAAGTCAAGGTTCTGGAGTGGCCATCTCAGTCTCCTGACCTCAATATGAATGAGCCACTCTGGGAAAATCTCAAACGTGCAGTTCATGCAAGACAGCCCAAGAATTTACAGGAACTGGAGGCTTTTTGCCAGGAAGAATGGGCAGTTTTACCATCTGAAAAGATAAAGAGCCTCATCCACACATACCATAAAAGACTTCAACCTATCATTGATATTAAAGGGGACAATACACCGTATTAAGAACTGGGATATGTAAACTTTTGATCAGGGTCATTTGGGTAGTTTCTGTTGTCATGATTTAAAAAGAGTAAACACAGTTGATTGATAATAAATAGCTTCAGCCAACCATTAACCATGAGTGAAAGAAAAGTTTTTGTGTTATTCATATTCTCTGAAAAATGGTCAAGAAATCAAAAATTCTGCCAGGGTATGTAAACTTAAGAGCACAACTGTATCTTTATATCTTACATTTTTTCCATATTAATAACATTAGTATCAATGCTTTCATTGTGGAAAGCCAGACTGGTATTTTCAAATTATGTTGTTCTTTATTTTTAACCCACACTGATAACAATGCATTTCTAACATAATGTATTTGAAAGTAGTTATATAGCAGGGGGATAATTTAATCACAGTATTCAATCTACCCTAATGGATGTTGCAGACATTTTTCAAATATAAATTCATGTATAGGGCCTTAAACTATCAAGATACCACAATGGTTATATTTAATGGTAGTTAAATTCAACTATCAGTAACAGAAGCAATTAGTTATGTAAAAAAATGAAAATATTTGAAGTTCACGTTACAAAATAATAGTTGCATGTAAATAAATTTTTTATTTGTTTATGATGACAGCTTTTTAACAACATCCTTTTTTTCCAGCGGTTCTGAGAGCATGTGCTGATGGAGGTGCCAATTATTTGCACTGTATCACCGATGGGAACCGTGACAGGTACACTTACAATAAAATGTTCTAATAATTTGTGTATCTTATCTACACATAAAATGCTGATTAAAGCACGTTGATTAAATTTATTTTTTTCATTATCTGGTTTCTACATAGTACCAGGCTACTGGTACCTCATAAAAACATAACAGGCTACTTTTCAAGTACCTTAAGGTCATTGTTTTTTCCCATTTCTATAAGAAAAAATACTGATGTGAAGCCATGGGCTGTAGAAACACAATTAATAATGTCACAAAATAGAAAGCATTTACAATTCAACATAGAAATGTCATTTTTATATTGAAGCCCTACGATTCAAATTTTAATGTCACATTTCTTCACCTTATTCTATTAAATGAATCTAACAGATACTAAGAAATGAGACTTGGAAATGGTGGTTTAATGTAAGGATGATTGTGCATGCTATAATAAAAAGCATACATTGGAGCACAAATATTACACTGGTTGCTTTTGAATAAGCTTTTTCATCTTTAAGAGTTGAGAAAGGTTTTGTGATGACTCTCCCGGATGCTTCCCAGATATATCTTCAGGTTTCAGTTCAGGGGAGGATGAATCAACTCCTGACAGGAAGGGAGTTGATTAATGGCTACAAGCAGTTGTCTGAGAGTGATTTGGCTGAAGCAGAGCTGCAGCAGGACAGCTCTGAGGCGTCAAATGGAGAAAGCATGCAGATACAGCCAGTCAGGAAGGAAGAAAAGGAAGTGCCTTCTGTACCTGATCCAAGAACACATAGGGCAGAGAAAAGGCAGGAACAAGATTACTCACGAAGAAAAAGCCTCACATTTCTAGATGGGCTGCATTAGAAGCAGGCTATTTAGCACAGCAGATAGATGGAGGTGATTCTGGGAACAACATGTTCATTTCCTAGGTGTGTGTTTTCTGGTCATTGTAATTCCTGCCTTGCTTTGGGTTGACACAGTGCCTTGACTTGGATTGTGCCTTGCGAATTCTGGACTTTTCTTGCCTTGTGAACCCAAACATGCTTTATCAAGAGGCAACTGGACTTTCTGGATTTCTTTGAAGATGTTTTGCTTCTCATCCGAGAAGCATTATCAGTTGACTGGATGATGGGGAATAGAAAAAAGTATATTCCTTGCAGACAGCTAGTCATTTGCATTCTTTCAGTGAGCCATTAAGGCCACCTGGAGGTTTATTCATGTCATCAGGGTCACCTGAGTGGTGCAAATGGGTGTGGAGCCTTCTTGGGACTGTTGAAAGGACTGTGTTGTAGACCCTGATGACACAGATATACCTCATGAATGTATGCCAAATTTATATAATCCTGGCATAGTAATCTATGGTGTGAAGGTCAATCTAACTACCAAAGCACTCCAATAATGAGGAGTATTATTGCTCAGGAGAAGTCAATAGGTAACACTCCTGTATTTTTTTTAAAATCACACCTATAAACAGTATAAAGAGATAGATGATACAATGTCCAATAATAGATTCACAAGACAGATACCATTCAACATGCTACTAAAGAAGAGCTTTCAAAGTACTATCAGTGTTAATAATATGGGTAGATTAAAGCCTTCAGCCCATCTAGTTCTTTTCATTAAAAGGAAAATTCAAGGATTGAAAGAAAATTACAGTGGGAAAATAGCATCAAGAAGCATGACCATTGAAAAAATAGACACAAGGAAAAATGAAACTAGAAATTGACATCAGAAGCATTAATTAATTGAAATAGGTTGGAATTGCATATTTTCAGTCAGACATTCATACTGTTTCCTGTTCTGTCTCACCTTTCTTCTTTCCCAAAAGATGAAAGAGTACAAACTCACACAAACACAGGCAGGCAAGCTGGCTCGGACTTCACAGAGTTAATTCTTTGGAACTGATAATGTCCTTGGCATTCCAACACGCTCTGCCTGCCAAGTCCGAACTGATAACAAGTAAAAAGCTACTCACGGAAAATTACAAGGCAGACCACAAAAATCATTCACAAAGAAAACCTGAAGTAAGATTAAACTTTGTCCCGTACAAAGTTCCAGCCAACAACACACCCACTTTTATCCCCTGTGGGGTGTGGCTCAATGACTCAGCTCACTCTCTGACCCTCCCACGCCTCCTACGTTGCTGCTCAGGATCAAGCCAACATTCTTCCTCTTGACTCCCTGTCAGGGGCTACTCCGATATGCCTTCCTCCTGATTAATCTCAGGCTGTTCCTCTCGGTTGTCTGATGAAACCTACTTGTATAATACTTGGAAAGGTGTTAAAATAGCAGGAAGGTGGATGGACTCAGTTACAATAGCAATTGGTACACTTTTGGAAGAACTGAAGGAGCAGGTTGTGGTTGCTAAGAATCAACATTGACTTGCTGACACATGATCAATCAAACAAGCAAGTTATTTTGTGGGATTGTGCAATCTTTTCTATGCAAAAACAAAAAAGATGGAAACATAGTATATGTTTGTAATTCTTTACACCCAAATCTATCTTTCCCCTTTTTCACATGACACTCATCCAATCCCAGAGAATTCAGGTGCTTTAAAATTACTGATACAGATAAGGACTAATTTTGATCCCTAAATATTCGGAACATTATATTGCCTTCAAAACATTGCACAACTCTTTCATCTTGTAATTGCAGCACAACACATTTTTTTCAGGCTGCACATATTTTTTAATCAATAGAGTGTTATATATTTATTATTATCATTGTCAATTAATTAGTAGTAGAATTAATATTCATTTAGATTTTGTCCTGATCCAGCCATTATTTTGAGTGGCCACTCATGTGAGAATGGTATATGCATGTATTTGTTGGAAAGAAGACTCTTGGATTTAAGTAGGCCAGTTGGCAAACCTTTTTTTTAAAAAAATAGATAGATTGGGCAGCATTTTTAGGACTGGTTATAACATTTTTCCCATTTTATCTTTGGGAGGGCATTACCATAAATGGAAGATAATTTTTTCTTTTAGGTAGGTACAAAATAGGCTCCTTTACACATGACAACATTCCTTTGTCATTTTTAAATCTGAGTAAGCTTTTTCTTGTTATTTGGCAGAAGAGAGGAAAGCAGTAATAACTCTTGCATATTTTAAAATATTTTTAAGGTAAATAACTTGCACCAGTAATAGAGACATAATGGTATAATGATGTTACCTCAATACTAATTATCTTACTATGATTTAAATGATACTTATATCTCCCATGTTCATAATTTTTATAATTTAATATGCTTACAAATACATGACATTCAAAATAGCCTTTTGACCTGACATGTTATAAAAAGTAAGGCTTGCACATATAGTCATTTTCCATATTTCCCCAAACCTTCACATCTTGAGATTATTCACATTCACTGGAAATGCTACTGCTGTTTAAAATGAGAATCATATAATAATATTGTTTGGCAGAGTATTATATTTTGGTATTTTGAAATATAAAGTACCTTGCATATTTATCCAAAAGCTAATGCAATCTGCTATTTGGCATATTAAACTTCCTTTGATATCTAGCAGTTTTAACTAGTCAGAAAATAATATATAAAATCAATGGGGAAATAATATTGTATTTCATTTTATTTCAGAACTCATTGAACAAAATACAAATAGCATTCATAAACATAAACAAATTTTTATCAAATACGTATTCATAAATGTAAACACATTAATAGAAAAACCAATTATTGTATTACTCACAAATAGTCTTATATAATCTTTACTGATTTAAAATAGAATAGAGCTAGAAGGGATTGAAAAACTGATTGATTTACCTGTGAATGATTTTGGATTGCTTGTTTGGACTTTGCTTAAACTTTCTGGAAGTAAAAACCTACATTTACTGTACAGTGTATCTGTGTGCTGTGTGTGTATTATTCAAACACTACTCTCAAATATGTCTTCCTGTATGCGCTCATTCTCCTAACGGGGAATTACCTCAACATTGTCTTCTTAAAAAACTCCAGTCATGGAGCACCCATGAATTGGCTCGGTAAACCTTATTATTTTTAGATTATTTATTATCAAAGATTATTTTTATGCCATAAATCTGTTATTTGCCTTTAGTCACAAAAATGGATAGAAATATTTTACTTCACTTTTGCCATGTGTCCCTTGTTATTCTCATTCATCAATGCACTTTTAGTAAAGGTTTGTGTGCTCAAAGAACACTATCAAACTGATGAGATTGTTTCCACCCCCACCAGCACTTAACTCAAGTCTAGCCCCTTCTTTAACATTTGTTTAGTCATTTTAGAATCACAGCATATATACAATTCTATGACAACTTTGAAAAATCTGCATTCAACCAATATCCTGGTACCACCAGACCTCTTTGAGGTAGTTGGATGTAATGACCTGCATATTTATTTGTTTAAACTATCCAAGCTTATTTATCAGTTTGTTTTTTATCAATCCCTTTATTATAGAATCTACAATATCTGCACTTCTCTTTTTGGTTTAAGAAGTATTCAAAACTCAGAGTGTGAGAAACTCAAGATATCCCTTAAGCCTTTAAGCCTTTAATACCCATTGCTATTCCTTTCATATTAATATTATCATCACAAAATTCAGATTTTTCTGTAATTTCTGAAAGTGTTCAGTCAGGATTCTGAAATTTTAGAGAGGTCAGAGGCTCTTTATTTCTGATCTTAGCAACAAGGCATAGTGTGGCCAAAAAATCATTTGGTTCTCCAAGGTATTAAGACTTCTTCAGTCTTGGAAATGGGGCTGACATCATGGTGATACAACACATATCCACAGGGCTTCGTGGAATCACACCTAATTCAACCTGCCACAAGGTTCCGAGGGACCCAAGTCATCCTGGAGGGGTGATGAAGACAGAGAGACTCCGTCGATCACAAGGAGACTGCAAATTCCTTGTTTGATCCAGAGGAAGTGCTCAATCCGGAGGGAAGAAAAAGACAGCCATTGTGTGCCTGACTGAAGCTGTGACAGCTGATCAATTAAGCAAGCTTAAAAAACTGAGGAACAGTGTGGTTGATCTGGGTGAGATTTTTCCAACTTCTGTTGA